GGTACAGACCATACTTGAAAGGCCCAGGCAGTCAGATGCAATTCTAAAGCAGCTTGGGTAATTTAGTGGAACTGTCTTAAAACGAAAAGGGCATGGGGATATAGTTCAATAGATGAGTGCTTGCCCAGCACATATGAGATGTTAGGTTCAGTCTTCACTAAGGGGGGTTGAGGGTGAGAGAGAAAGAGGAGATTGGGGTGGCAGTGAGAATGGGGAGGAGTCATTCTCTAATACAGGATTAAAAGTGGCTTCAGTCAAAGGGGTTAAGACCAAGCTGGTGAAACCCACAGAAACAGCTGACCTGAACATGGTCCCCAGACTGTTAGCTGGGAAACCAACATAGGACTAATCTGGAACCCATGAACATAGGTGTCAGTGAGGAGGCCTCAGAAATCTCTGGGGCATCTTGTAGTAGATCAGTACTTATCCCTAGCATAGGAATGGACTTTGGGAGCCCATTTCACATAGAGGGATACTTCCTCAGCCTAGATACACGGGGGGAGGGCCTAGGGCCTATCCCAAAGGATATGACAGACTCTGAAGATTCCCCATGGAAGGGCTCTCCCTCCCTGAGGAGCAGAAAGGGTATGGGATGGGGACTTGGGGGGGGGGGCAGGAGGGGAGGGAGAAAGAACTGGGATTGACAAGTAAAACAATCTTGTTTCTAATTTAAATAAAAAACAGAGGGGGGAAATGGCTTCAGTATATAAATTTGCTTATGAAAGGAAAGATAAAGTAAAAAATGATAAATTTAGCAGGAAGGTATAAGAAGAGAAACTGTAAATACTTAGAAACATTTTCTTCACATTGCCAACAAGTAGTAACTAGTATATGGCTTGCACAGGCAGAGCAGTGGTAGCATTTGTCTGGCTTCTATCACTCAAAGTATTCCAATTTTATTAATATTTTTAACTTTTAGATTTATTTTAGGTTTATGAGTGTTTTCCTCTTGTGTATGTCTGTGAACCTTGTAAATTCCTGGTGCCAGAGGAGATCAGAATAGGGCACCAGGTCCCTGGGAACTGGAGTTGCAGATGGTTGTGAGCTACAATATGGTTGCTAGGAACCAAAGCTGGCTCCTCAGCAAGAGCAACAAGTGCTCTTAACAGCTGAGCATCTCTCCAACCCTGTGCTCTCCTCTTTTTCTTCTCCTCTGAGTTGCTGGTTTTTCATCTGCACTTGCAGACTAAAGGAAGCTTTTGAGGAGCTAGAGGAAAGCAGTGGTTAAGAGCAGGGTGTGTAATGTTCTTGCAGAGGACCCAGATTTGTTTCTGTGTACCCACATCAGGTAGCTAACAACTGCCTGCAACTCCAGCTCCAGGGGATCCAACACCTCTGGTTTCTATAAGCACCCGCACTGGTGTCCACTCCCTCCACACAAACATATACACATATTTAAACTTAAAGTATGATTGTTTTGGAGACAGAGTCTCTCTGTGTAGCCCTGGCTGTCCTGGAATTCTGTGAAGATCAGGCTGGCCTTAGAGATCCTCCTGCCTCTGCCTCTGGGGTGTTTGGATTTAGGGCATGTGCTCCCATACCCAGCATAAAATAAATATTTAAAACACATATATTTTCATTATATGCAGAGTGAATTAGTCCAGATGGCAGGGTTGAGCAGGGTGGAGTAGAGGTGGGTACTTCTCTGGGCTTTCGCTCCCTTGTGTTTCATGTCTTCCATGAGGCCCAGTTCTTTTTATTTAGGAAGTAGTCAGCCTCCCTCTCTGGAGCCATTCTTTGGGGTTGAAGCTGTTATATGACTTCTTTAAGTTATTCCAAGCCCTCAGGGAGGCACAAATGGGGAAATGAAAATGAAATAAAAGAGCAAAAGTGAAACTTTAAATGACAAAATACCCTAGAACAATATTTTAATTTCAATAATTGGGGAAATATTGGTGGTAGTGGGTATAAATATTTCTTTTTTTATGGTTTTTCAAGATGGGGTTTCTCTGTGTAACAGTCCTGGCTGTCCTGGAACTCACTTTGTAGACTAGGCTGGCCTCAAACTCACTGAGATCCACCTGCCTCTGCCTCCACTTCCCAAGTCCAGAAGTAAATATTTCAAATGGAGAAAACTCTATTTTGTGATCTAGAGAGAATGAGAAATAACAGTTGAGTGTGAGTATCAAGCAGGCTTTCTACCTCAAGAATCTGGAGACTTTTTACCTCCAGCCTATTTATAGCTAAGAATGACCTCGAATTTTTGAACCTTCTATCTTTATGTTCCAAGTCCTGAGCTTACAGACATGGACCACCATACCCAGCTTTGTGTGGTGCTAGACAGATACTCTATCAATGAGTTACAGCCCAGCTCTTGAGATTCTTCTGCAAGAAGTCTGCTTGGTTTTTTGAGACAGGGTCTTTCTGTATAACAGCTCTGGCTGGTCTCAACCTTAGAGATCCTCCTGCCTCTGCCTCCTAAGTGCTGAGATTAAAAGTGTGCAGTGCTGGGCGTTGGTGGCCCACGCCTTTAATCCCAGCACTTGGGAGGCAGAGGCAGGTGGATCTCTGTGAGCCTGGTCTACAAGAGCTAGTTCCAGGACAGTCTCCAAAACCACAGAGAATCCCTGTCTCGAAAAACCAAAAAATTGTGCAGCATCAGGGCTAGAGAGATGGCTCAGTGATTAAGAGCTCTTCCAGAGGGCCTGGGTTCCATTCCTGGCAACCACATGGTGACTCACAACCATCTGTAATGAGATCTGGTGCCGTCTTCTGGCCTGAAGGCATATATGCAAATGGAATGCTGTACACATAATAAATAAATAAATCTTTAAGAAAGTGAGCACCACCACTCATGACTATATTATTAAATGTTAATAACCACATGGGACTATTCTGAGTATTGTGGGATTCTAGATGGTGCTGATAGACTAAATGAACCATTAATTTTTCTTTGATCCGATTTAAAGTTAGGTGGATATTAAAAGGCTAAAAAGAGACAGTGGGAAGTAGTAACAGCCAACATTTACTGTGTGTATAATTATAGTTATAATTATAATTATAGTGCCAGATATTTATTAAAACACTTAACCATATTTTATATGATCCTCGCAAGAGTAGCAAATAAATTAATCATTTTCCAGATGAGAAAATTTAGGCACAGAAATTTTATTGGGGATGGATGACATAGTTGGTAGACAAAGGGTAGAGAAAGAACTCATACATAGGTAGTATGATTACAGAGCCTACTCATTTATATTGTTTAAAATCAGGAATGAGATTATATCAAAGTGATTGGGACCATGATTCTCAAACTCTGTGCCATGATGGAGACCCCTGCAGGTACCATTAGGTAGTTTAAAATATTTATATATTTTATTTATGGTTTTTTTTTTTTTGTTGTTGTTGTTGTTTTGAGACAGGGTTTCTCTGTGTAGCTTTGGAGCCTGTCTTGGCACTCGCTCTGGAGACCAGACTGGCCTCGAACTCGCAGAGATCTGCCTGCCTCTGCCTCCCGAGTGCTGGGGAGGCTGGCTTATTTATGTATTTTAAATTTATATTATTTATTAATTTGAGATGGACTCTCCCTATGTTGCCCAAGTTGGCCTCAAACTTCTGGGCTCACATGATCGTTTTTGCCTCAGTCTCCCCAGTAGATGGAACTTCGGCCAGTGCCACCATTCTGGGTACACATACACACTCACACATAGCAGTATTGAAGATGGAATCCAAGACCTAATGCATGCTGGGAAAGCACTCTCCTCCCCGGCCTCCCCAAGACAGGGTTTCTCTGTGTCACAGTCCTGGCTGTCCTGGCACTCGCTCTGGAGACCAGGCTGGCCTCCAAGTCTCAGAGATCCACCTGTCTCTGCCTCCCTAGTACTGGAATTAAAGGCGTGCCCCACCACACTTGGTCCTAATGTTCAAAAAAAGACTAATGATGATAATAACATAAACCAATTTAAATTTAAAAGAGCACTAAAATATAAAGTATAAATAGATATTTTCATGGACTTTCTTTTTCTCTTTCTTTCCACCCGCTATCCCAGCCCCAGCAGCACACACTGGCACAGGCTGGCCTCGGTCATTACTACCACTACTATTGAGACAGGATTTCACTATGAGCAGCCCAAGTTGACCAGGAGCTGGTGCAATATCTTTGGGATTAAAGGCGTGTGCCACCACCCCTTTGGCTTTAATAAATATTTGTAAGTACATGAGAAAAATAGGATTGGGAAGCAGTGACTCGAGTTGTGGTGGAAAAACATCAAGCAGGAGAGATTAAACTCCCAGGAGAGGGGCAGATAAGGGATTTCAAGATCTAAGCATGGTTACAGAGAAGGAATACCGAAAGCTTACCACGGGTTGTACTATTTAGTTCTGGGGTGTGTGTATATAATTCTGTTACGTAAATTCTCTCTCTTCCTCTCCCTCTCTCTGTGTTTTGCTTGCTTGTTTGGTTTTGGTTTTTTGTTTGTTTGTTTTTCCGAGAAAGGTTTTATCTGTGTAACAGCCCTGGCTGTTCTGGAACTAGACTTAGCTGGTTTCGAATTCACAGTGATCCATCCCCCTGCCTCTGCCTCCTAAGTGCGTGCGCCCCCACCACCCGGCGTGAATTCTCTTAACAAGTCTCAGGGTTAGCGGAATTGCTTGGACTCAGTACTGTGTGCATCCATCCGGTCCGTGCCTAGGAGCCAAGCAGCCTAGAACTCCGCGCAATCTGGGCCTCTATGTGTTTCCCCAAATCCTGTAGGCACCAAGTCAGCACTGTTAGCTCGCGCTGCCTTATTTCCCTATTCCAGAAAGTAACTCGGACAGCGTTTTGCTTCGTTTTATTCTAGGATTGCACAATCTATGGTTTGACTATTTTTTCGAATTCTTACACAGTAACGCAGCGGAGAATGGAGGTGCAGATGGGCGGTTCCGGGGCTCTCCACCCTGCTTCTTCCCACACAGGCTTGCTTTCCTGGCTGGGAGACCCATGAATGCGTGCGGGGACGAAATGCTGGATGCCCTAGACTCGGAGAGGGTCCCTTTGACGAGAACTCTGGCGAGGTTCCCTGCCACACCTCTGGATGAGGGTGTGTCACCATGGAGACCTGCCGCTGCCATTGGCTGGCGCCTGGGGCTGGGGCTATAAAGCCGGGCCCAGAGAGCAGTGCACTAACAGTGTTGACCAGACTCAGACGGTGTCGCCCGCGGAGCGGAAAGGGCAGGATTTCAGCGCGGCCGTCGGTGACACCATGGAGAAAAACGAGTGAGTGTCAGGCCCCGGGACTCGGACGTTCTGTCGAGGGGGACGGGCTGTCGCCGAGACCTGGGAACTTAGCAGTCTGGGCCCAGAAAAGGAGCGATTCCTCTGGGGATGCAGAGAGGCCTGGCACAGAGCCCGGTGGCGGACTCACGGCTCCGGAACGGGGGGGAAGCTAGCGCGGCAGGGCGGGCGCGGGAATCCAGCTGTAGGAGCGCCCCGGAGCAGGAAGGAACAGGTTTAGCGCAGGGTAGGCGACCCCTTTCAGGAACTGTGGTGCTTCTGTGGTGTGTCGGGATGCTTGTGGAAAAGCAGGTACTTCGTAACACAAGTTTCCATTCTAGGGGTCCGGGTAACCCAGGAGATAAGTCTGTTGTGCTATCCCGCAGTTCCTCCTTTAGAAGGAAAATTGCTCACTTTCCAAGACAGCCTCTGTTCTCTCCAAACTAGAGGTTGCATTAACAAGTTGGGAATGGAGTCTCTTTAGGGCTGGGAAATCTGTATTTATTGTTCTACTCAGAAGACACCCACCCCTTCCTGTCCACTTTAAGGAAAAAAACAAAACTCTTGTTTTGCGTCGGGAATTCCCAGTTAACTCACAAGCAGACTGTAGGGATCACAGTAGCTTTGGAATGATCACACTGAGCTGTGGCTGGACATGGCTGATTGCCACGCGTCATTTCTTCCCGCCCTTTGGGATGCTGTTTCATTAATTTCTTGCTTCATTTTGTCACCCCGTGACTCTATCCGTCCCCACCCTACCTAGCTGTTTCATGGAGGGTAACCTGTTGTGTTGTAGTCCTGTTTGTTTCCAATAATATACTCCTGTGATTGTGTGTCTTGCTATACTTAAGGTGGGCTTGTTATCCTATGTGGGTCTGTCATGAAGCTGGGACTTATGACGTTGGTGGAAGAAAAAAATTTCAGCCGGGTGTTGATGTTGCACGACTTTAATCCCAGCACTCGGGAGGCAGAGACAGGTAGATCTCTGAGTTCGAGGCCAGCCTGGTCTACAGAATGAGTGCTAAGACAGGCTACAAAGCAATACAGAGAAACCCTGTCTCAAAAACAAAAACAAAAACAAAAACAAAAAACTTGTTGAGGCTTTTTATTAGTTGTTCTCAATTCATGTGCACCACAGTTCTTCCATTTCCAGGAGCAATCTTTGATCTTTGCAGTTAGTTGGTTGTGATGGAATTGGACTTGGGACTGTTTGAAGGTTCTGGGTTGATTTTTTTTTTTAACCCTTTGGTTTCTTGAGACAGAGCTTCTCTGTGTAACAGTTCTGGCTGTCCTAGAACTCACTATATAGATTATCTCTGGCTGTCCTAGGACTCGATTTCTGAATCGGGCTGGCCTAGAACTCCAGAGATCTACCTGCCTCTGTCTCCTGAGTATTGGATGAAAGGCATGTGCCATCATTCCTGGCTTCTTAGCAAGTTTTTAATCTGAAGGGATAGGCCCGGATGTCAGGATAAATTGTTTACGATTTTTTTTTAAAACCACTGGAATCAAAATAGCAAAGCAGCCATACTAGTTAGCCATAGAAGCCAGGCAGTGGTAGCATACACCTTTAATCCCAGGACTCAGGAAACAAAGGCAGATGGATCTCTCTGAGTTTAAGGCCACCCAGGGCTACGGGAGATTGAATCAGTCTAAAAGAGTAACAAAGCTCACGCCTTTGAACCTAGCATTTGGGATCGTACACCCTTAATCCCAGAAGTAGGGAGGTGGAGCCAGGAGGATGTAGCTGGTCAGAGAAAGGACTAAAAGGAGGAGGAGACAGGATCCGAGAGCCTTTTGCCTCTGAGGATTCATGGAGACAGGATTGGCATTTCAACAGGGTAGAGTTAAGATCTACTGGTTTGGCTGCTTTGCTTCTCGGATTTTCAGTTTAAAACTTGAAGCCCAGTATCAGTCTCTTGGTCTTTTATTTTTCATGTTATACCCAGAAACAACTTCTTCTTCTTCTTCTTCTTCTTCTTCTTCTTCTTCTTCTTCTTCTTCTTCTTCTTCTTCTTCTTCTTTTTTTTTTGAGACAGGGTTTCTCTGTTTAGCTTTGGAGCCTATCCTGGCACTCGCTCTGGAGACCAGGCTGGCCTCGAGCTCACAGAGATCCGCCTGCCTCTGCCTCCGTAGTGCTGGGATTAAAGGCATGCACCACCAACACCCGGCCAGAAACTTCTGTTTTTAACCAGTGTCTACTGAGAATCCAACAACACTAGTTTAGGATTTTATAAATAATGATGTGAAATAAGCCTGGTTTTTCTTTTGTTTTGCAATTGTTAAGTTTCTTAGCTGTGAATCATAGCTCACATTGTCTGTCATCTCAATACTCCAAGGTAGAGAGAGACAGGAGGATCAGGAGCTCAGGGTCAGCCTGGGCTACATACTGAGTTTCAGACTGGCCTAAGTTACATGAGACCCTGTCTGAAAAACAGCAAACTTTACCAAAAACAGTTTATTTTCTGGTTTTGAGAAATACATACTCATTATAGTCTTTGTTTTTGAAACAGACCTATGTGGCCCTGGCTGGCCTGGAACTCATTATATAAACCAGACTGGCCTTGAACTCACAGAGATCCTCTTGCCTCTGCCACTCCAATCATGGAATAAAAGGTGTGGACCACCTGGTCCCGCCATTGAGTATCTTTGTTAATTACAAATGACAGAGGTCTGTACCCAGGAATCAAAGAAACATGTTCAGAGGAACTGAAGCTCTTATATAGACTTCTACTAGGAGTGTTCTTAGTGCTTATTAATAAATAATAAAAATAAGAAGAAGTCAGGGCTGGTGACATGGTAGGTAAGGTAAGGTACTCACTACAAAGCCTGGTCAAGTTCCATCCTTGGGACCTACATGGTGGAAGGAGAGAACCAATTCACAAGTTATCCTATGACCAGCACACACATGCTGCAACATGCTTTGTATATACCACAGACACATACACACCGACTAAATTAAATTTTTAAATTAAAAATTAAATCAAAAAAATTTTTACCCAAAGAGCTGCCTAAAGTTCTAGCTACTCTAGTAGGCTGGCTGAGAAAATCTCTTGAGCCTGGGGGTTGGGGATTAGTTTAGGCAATGTAGGAAAATTCTGTCTCAAACAAAAAAAAAGCAAAGCAAAAGGCAAGAAACTTGCCTTCAGGAAGGCCTTAATCCATGCTGATTCCTCTCCTTGATTTGATTACTGCATTGTAACTCTGAAACCTCTGGTCCTATGCCTGTCACACCAAGAGTACCACCTCCTAGAGCCGGGGCACAGCTTAGTGGTTGAGCACTTGAGGTGGAGCCATTCATGGAAACAGGCTTCATTAATTTTGTCATGCTCTGGACTAAAGGAAGGGTGTTTCACCTCCGACTTTTAGTGGGCCTGATTCAAAAGTGATGGAGAAGTAGTTGAATGAACGGTGGGCTCCCTCTGGCCTGTCATCTTTGTCCTCTGATGCCTTAGAATACCCACCAGGTTTTCTGTGCTACAGTCATTTTCCTATGCTCTTGGAACGAAAGGCGAATTCACTTTGTTCTTTCCCCTAGATTCACGTATGAAGATTACCAGAGCACCGCTGAGTGGCTTCTGTCTCACACTGAGCATCGACCTCAAGTGGCAGTGATCTGTGGTTCTGGGTTAGGAGGTCTGACTGCTAAATTAACTCAGGCCCAGATCTTTGAGTACAGTGACATACCCAACTTTCCCCAAAGCACAGGTACTGGCTGGGATTATGAGATGTTGATGGGTGTCTTAATCACTGTTCTGTTGCTATGAGGAGATACCATGGCCAAGGCAACTCTAACGAAAAAAAGCATTTAATTTGGGGCTTTCTTTCAGTTTCTGAGATTTAGTCCATTATCATGTCATGGAGCATGGCAGCATGCATGACACTAGAGCAGTAGCCAAGAACTTCATCCTAAGGCCAAGAAAGAGACACTGGGCTTGGTGTGGGCTTTTGAAACCTCAAAGTCCACCCCCAGTGACATACTCCTCCAATAAGGCCACACCTCCTAACTTTTCTAATAATTTCAACTAGTGCCAGCTAGATCTGCCTGCCTCTGCCTCCCAAGTGCTGGGATTAAAGGCGTGCACCCAGCCTACACTTGTATGGTTATGATGATCTGGTCACCAGACTTCTGTTGTCTTTGGTTAATTATATGGTCATATGTTAAATGCAGTGAGTGCCAGTGTGCTTTTTGAGGCAGGGTCTCACTATGTATCCCTGGCAGGCCTGGAACTTGCTATGTAGTCTAGGCTGGTCTTGAATTGACAAGGATATGCCTGCTTCTGCCTCCTGAGTGCTGAGATAAAAAGCGTGTGCCACCACCACACCTGGCATAATCACTTTGCTTTTCCTTCTCTGTATGCAGTGCAAGGCCATGCTGGTAAACTGGTGTTTGGATTCCTGAATGGCAGAGCCTGTGTGATGATGCAGGGCAGGTTCCACACATATGAAGGATACTCACTATCAAAGGTAAATCAGGGGCACAAGTTTGGTTGGATTTGGAGGAAGGTGGGGAGAGCTATTCTACTTTATTGTCTAACTATTTCAGCTAGGTGTATTTTTTATTTGTTTCCTCTTGTTTCTTGGTGTGTATTATGCATATCTTTGTGGGTAGGTTGGTGAGGTTTTGAAGAATCTTTTCTGATCTTTTGCATCTAAGGTGACATTCCCAGTGAGGGTTTTCCGTCTTCTGGGTGTGGACACTTTGGTAGTCACCAATGCAGCTGGAGGGCTCAACCCCAACTTTGAAGTTGGAGACATCATGCTGATCCGTGATCACATCAACCTACCTGGTTTCTCTGGTCAAAACCCTCTCCGAGGCCCCAACGAGGAAAGGTGCGCATTTCTACCCTCTGCTCTACATGTGGAGGGTCTGGGCTTGTCCAAGAGTTGGGAAGGAAAAGTTCGCTTAGTGATATGTATCTAAGATGATGCAATCTGTGCTCTAGGTTTGGAGTTCGCTTCCCTGCCATGTCTGATGCTTATGACCGGAATATGAGACAGAAGGCTTTGACTGCCTGGAAACAAATGGGGGAGCAACGGGAATTACAGGAAGGCACCTATGTGATGCTGGCAGGACCCAACTTTGAGACTGTGGCAGAGAGCCGCCTGCTAAGGATGCTGGGAGCAGATGCTGTTGGTGAGAAGGGGATTTGGCTGGAGGTTCAAGGGAAAGATCTGGTAAAATAGCAAAGGGGAGGAAGAAGTTATAGATCTGGAGAAGCCATTGGATTACTAGGAAAGTGGCGAAGGCAGGCTTAAGCTTCAACACTGTTACAGAATATCAGTGCAGCTGCCTTCTGTGCCCGTGGGTGGAAGTTGGCCTCATATCATTAATTGCCACAAATGACAGAGAGATTGTATTGGTGAAGTGTATCAAAAACTAGTAAGGCCATTTGAAGAGACTCGGGACAATAAATGCTCAACACTAATTTAGTTGCTTTGGACACTTCCTGAGATTTAATCAACTTATGAGAGTGGAGTGTGAGGAAAACCTCATGAGGGTCATCTTCTCTTTCTCCCCATCAGGCATGAGCACGGTCCCAGAAGTTATCGTTGCACGACACTGTGGGCTTCGAGTCTTTGGTTTCTCACTCATTACTAACAAGGTTGTCATGGATTATGCAAACCTGGAGAAGGCCAATCACCAGGAAGTCTTAGAAGCCGGAAAAGCAGCTGCACAGAAACTGGAACAGTTTGTTTCCATTCTCATGGAGAGCATTCCACCTCGGGAGCACTAGTCTCTGCTCTTAGATGGTAACAGAAAGGGAAGAGGAGGATCCCTTCCCTTCACCTCTCCCAATGTTCTTCCACCATTCTGATGTCTGTCCCTCTTGCTCAGTTGCCTTCACAAAACAGTTTAACTTTCACTCCTTTGGAAGAGCACAGTTGGGCCTTTTGCCTTCAAACAGTACCTTCTAGATCTGGGAGATCACACACATGTTCCTCTGGGCTCAGCCTGGCTTCCCTAAAGAACTAGAGACCAAAGACCAACCCAATACCTCTTTTATTTAGTACCACAATATTTGGAGAATAAAGAGACCAAATGCATTCTTTTTGTGTGTAATCTGATATGAAGCTGAGGCATAGGCCAAGGTGGGCTTGAAAAGCTTTGGGACCACATGTCTTGTATGAGTCTCTGATTTTTCGGAAGTAGCAGAAGATTGAGAAGAGGTGGTAGGTGGGTAGCAAAGGATGAAGATGAGAGAATGGTAAAGAAAGCAAGGGGTGTGTGTGTGTGTGTGTGTGTGTGTGTGTGTGTGTGTGTCCACTTCTTTTAGACTTGTTCCATCCTCCAGTCACTTTCATGAGTATCTGTATCTCACGGCTCTCACTTCTGTACCTTAGCAGCCACTTTCTCATTGCATTCTTTTTATCCTCTAGGTTTTTTTTGTTTTTGTTTTTTGTTTTGTTTTGTTTTGTTTTTTTGGTTTTTGGTTTGTTTTTTCCACTCCATCCTGACAGTGCAGCAGCAAATACCTTTTGCCATTTTTTGTACTTCTGGCCAGGTTCTTTCTAGTCCCAGTCAAATCTGTAAAGTTGGTTCATACTCAGTTTCTCCTTCAGCCCTATGTGATGGCTATTGGCTGTCAATCTGACTCCATCTGGAATTAGTTAAAACTCAAAAAATAGAGGGCACATTTGTGAGGGATTTTTGCTTAAGTTGAAATGGAAAGATCTACTTCTAATCTGGATCTTTGAGGTAGAAAGTCACACCTTTAATTCAGATCTTAAGTGGGGAAGACACACCTTTAATCCAGATCTAATCTGGACCACTCCTGCTGGAAGCCTATATAAGGACACGGAAGAAGGAAGAAAGCTTTTGCTCTTTGCCTGCTTGCCCTCTCCTTGGCTGGCAAGTCCATTCCTTCCCTGGCATTATGGTCTGCTTCTTCAGGATTCCAGCATACACTGAAAACCAGATGAGACATCCAACTTCATGGACTGAGCAGTTAATGGATTCTTGGACTTTCTGTTCATTTTCAGCCAATGTTGGATAAGCTGAACCATAGCCTATAAGTCCTCTCTCTCTCTCTCTCTCTCTCTCTCTCTCTCTCTCTCTCTCTCTCTCATCTTTTACCTTGCTGACTTGTTAAGGAAATGGCACTACTCTCTCTTACAAAACTAAAATCTCAGGAGACAAGAGAAATGGCTCAAAATCAAGGAACTAGGTCTGGAAGGATCCCCTAATCAAAAGAATTTCTTGGAAAATTAATGATGAGCCCACTCTTGTAGAGAGGCGTGTAGGGTGTCTGCAAATGGACTGATTTTTCTTGGTTTCATGGACGGTTTCAAAACATACACTCAAATTGTATTTTTTATTGATTCTACCATGGTCAGCTTTATCATCAACAAATACTTATGTACTATTTGTGGAACACTGTCCTAAGCAATCATAACATACGTTGGTATAAGAGGAAGTAGGTGGGAGACAGAAAATGTATATAAAAAATAAACAGCAAGGTTAAGCTATGCATGCCCTTTGTCTGTTAATGACTTTTTACTAATCTTGTTTACCTTTATATTATCATGTATCAGAGTCATCTTTTTCCATTAAACTTTGAGGACACCCTAATTTTTGAGAGGAAAAGAAGGAATATAATAATATATGGAAAGCAGTATACTGTTTGGGCTAATGATCATCTGCTTCAAGATTTCAAAGGCGAGCTGGGTGTTGGTGGCGCATGCCTTTAATCCCAGCACTCAGGAGGCAGGCCGATCTCTGTGAGTTCCAGGCCAGCCTGGTCTACAGAGCAAGTGCCTGGACAGGCTCCAAAGCTACACAGAAAAACCCTGTCTCAAAAAACAAAAACAAAAACAAAAACAAAAAAAACCAAAGAATTCAAAATCAACTAACTTGGGAGTCAGGGAAGAGGGTGTGGATGTATTCCTGAGACTTGAGTTAAGAAAGACAGTATATCCCAGAAAGTGCTATTTAAGGCACATTTGGGAATGTTTTATTATTTAAAACAAAATGGCACCAAGCACTAGTGGCACAGCTGGGCAGTGGTGGCACATGCCTTTAATCCCAGCACTCAGGAGGCACAGTCAGGTGATCTCTGTGAGTTCAAGGCCAGCCTGGTCTGTAGAGCTAGTTTCAGGACAGCTAGGGCTGTTACACAGAGAAACCCTGTCTCAAAAAAAAACCTAAATAAATAAATAGAAGGTTAAACCACAGAAAGGAACAGAAAGATAAGGGGTAAAGTAGGAAAGGAAGAAGTTGTTCACCACACTGATCTAGGCAGAGGTGTTAAAACTGCATTTTCTGGGCTAATTAGATGGCCGATGAAGTCCAATAACCTAAAGACCTGTAGTCAATAACTACACTGATTATTTTGTCTGCCTAAATGAAGCAAAAAAGAACTATTTTTTTTCAAATGATAATTTTTGCAATAGAGTCTTGTATCCCTAACTAGACTGGAGCACAACTCATCGGGTAGTTTGGAGTTACAGCTTGCAAGGGGACAGGACAGTACAAAAGGAGGAATGAATGAGAAAAATGCATCATGACATATATGTGTACTAACCCAAAAGATGACCACAAAAGGCATTTTGATGGTGGAATTATGTCCACCTAAAATGAACTCTAGAATAGTAAAATTGTTAGTATTAGGTATACTTTTTCTCAGGTTATAGGGTTTGTGTCTGTGTGTGTGTGTGTGTGTGTGTGTGTGTGTGTGTCTAATGTTGTACAGTGTTAGCTGTTAGAGGCTATAAAGATAGCTTAGTGGTGGAAAACTTGCTTCGAGTGTGTAGAAGCGTAGCTTCAGCTCCCCCCAGTTAAATGTAAAAACTAAAGCGCACAATTTAAACATGAAGATACACCCTAGAGAGAACATGGAAGGTATGAAGGTAGTGACTTCTGGCTCAGTTTTTGTCCTCTAGCCTCATCTAACAATACACGTCACCATCCTGTGCTAAGATGAGAGATTCACTTGAACAAGACAGTAGCTAGTCAAGCAATGCATTCCACAGTTGTGCTTCACCCGTTTATAGCGTATGAGCATGAGCAAGGTTTGCTCCCATCTAGTCTGCTATGTAAGATGAGCTTTGCTGTACCACGGTCTCCCTGGGATGATTCTGCGGCTACAGATATTTCTGACTTCTTGCAGAGACCCCAAGTTTAGTTGGGGCGGGGGAGAAAGAATGTGGGTGAGAGGAGAGGGGACCATTGTCAGCTAACACGCACATACCTCACTTTGAAATGCCCAGGTGTCAGCCTACTATTAATTTTGTACAAATTAATAACACTTATTTGGCTTGGCTTGTTTTGAAAGCAGGTTAAAGGAAGTCCACAAATACCCAGATAAAGGAATAACAGGTATTTATTTGGGGAACTCACACAATGATTGTAAATAACTGCCTTGGTCTTCTGCTCCTGGAGACACAGGCTCTGTGATTCAGGATGCTCTGACCACCACAACCTAAGAGAGCTCGAGCCAGGCCCTCCTCTTCCTCATAAGGGGTCATGTCCAAACACACTGAAGTCACACCCTAAGGTGTAGCCACCACCCGGAGTCCACTGGAGGAACAAGATGCCACTACCTTGTTTTTTTTTTTTTTTTCCAGCAATTTAAATATAGTGTTTAAAATTGGGAAGCAGCTCATTCAATAAAGTGCTTGCCTTGCATGCAGGAGGAATTTTGATCCCCAGAACACATAGTAAAAAAAGCAGGCATGGTGGTGGTTTCCATTCAGGGCTGGCGGTGGTGGGGTGGTGGGGAAGAAAGAGGAACCCCTGGGCTCAGTGGATACTGGCAAGCCTACTTGGTGAGTTACATGCTAGTGGAAGACTTTTCTCAAACAAACAATGAAGGTGGACGACACCTGAGAAATGTACTCAGGGTTGTCCTCTGGCCTCCATATGCACACATATGTGCTCCTGTACACACAGGAACATAACAGTGTTATAGTTTCGGTTGCTTTTATCTGGGATTTATACCGATAAAACGAATACAATTTTTCTACTTCTATCATACATGCCAGTTAGTGTATTAGATGCAGTGTTCTATGCTACTTTTAATCAATTTTGGAGCTATTGTTAGACCCCCGAAAACTCAAGTATCCAGGGTCCCAGGCCACGTTCGAGGTCACCCCAATCACCAGGCAGATTCGAGAGCTTGATGCAAACTGCACAAGGCTTTATTGTAATTTAACGAGCTAACCCCATGTTAGCTCGGGTCTTTCACCCACCAGCCATGGCGGACAGCTAAAAAAGACGGCTCCTAGGGTCTCCCAAAAGATCTTATAGGGCAACGTAAGGGGAGTGTCTAGGGGTACGCACAGGCTCACGATTGGTGTGCCTCCAGGCTTGGAGGGCTTTCCCTGTGTTGATTGGTCAACTGGTTGTTATGGCCCATAGGCCCTCCCAGGGTGGTTGCTATGCTCTCTACGTCATTGCTGTGCGCTTGTCTGTAAAGCACACCCAGGGTTGTAAAGCATAGCGCCACCAGCTAACTTCCGATTGGTTCCTTTTACACCAGTAAATTAGGTATTTCCTTGATAACTTAAGTCAGTGCAGCCAAGAATACATTCTACAGCCTTAATTTTTTGGGAAGCAAAGAAAGTGTGAACAAAACTCTCTCAAACTAAACCTTCATCAAGGCTGACTCTTTAGAGCTGGAGTGACTGTGGAGAGCCTGGACTGTCCCATGTCCAGAGGCAAATGACCTTGGGCCACCTTCAGCCTGCTTAATAGCCATTCACTGCCCTCCTCTGTCACTGACTGAAAGCTTTGTGCTAATCGAGTAAAAATCACTTGGCATGTACAAACAGGGCAGGGTACAAACATGTACCAGTTTCCCTCTGGTAAACCATTAGCTTCCACTGACCAAAAGCCAAAACATCCAAGACCTGTAGCAAAGGTTTCCTCCATTGCTTCTTGGATGTCTCTACCAATGGATTTGAAAGTTGTCTTTTAGGGGAAAAGTATTTATTAATTTACATATTCATTTATTTATTGTATGTGTGTGCACGTGAGCACAGGGTGCCTTCGTGCACGTGGAGGTCAGAGAACAGCTTTCAGGAGTTAGTTTTCTTTTTCCCTATGG